AAGGCCGCGGTCCCGCGCCGTGCGCCTGGCGTTGGCAGCGCGCGCCGTGCGTCGTGGCCGGGCTCCCAGAGCAGCGCGCGCGGCGAGGCTATGCGCTTCATGACAGCCGCTTGAATGAGAATACAGCGGGGGTGACAAGGGATGGAATCGTGTGGCCGGTCTTTTAGCGTTCCTTTCACGATACCTGTTTTAAAGCTAGTTGCTATTGTGTTTGAAGTATTGGCCATAAGAAGGCCGAAAGTTGCACTTTAGTAAGTCACAGTGAAGATCCTTGGTACCTGAAATACTGAGGAAGAACAAAATGCAGAGCATTAACATGCATAATCCAGAATATCAACTGGAAATAATGTTTTTGCCATATTTTCACTGCAGCTAGCCATTTAAGAGGGCTTCATATTTCTCTCTGTGATTCTAAAACACTAGAAAGTGTCTTATTTACACATGTTCTACTCTGTTCTCCATGCTTCATCCTTTTTCTGTCACATCTTTCTATAATCATTTGGATCACTTTAAAAGTTAATGAAATTACTGTGCTGGTCATGGAAAATGGGAGATAAGGTAGTAGTGTTGAAATTATCCCCATTAGAGCAGTCATCCTGTTTTGAATTAGCAGGTTCTATTTTCATTTTATGTCTGACTTGCTCAGCTGTGTCTTCTAACATTTCAGCAATTCCAGTTCATTCCAAGGATTTATTTCCTTCTTTCCAGCAGCAGATCCTGTGTTTATCTTTTCTCACCTCGGAGCCCTTTTCCCTCCACTGTATCAGTCCTCCAGTACTGCTGTACACATCACACAGTCATTAAACTAAAGACCATTAGTCTTACCCATTGCCAATGAACAGATGACTGCAATGCCTGTCAAGTGGGCTTTTTAATTGCTCTTCTTTTTTTTTTCTTTAAACAACTACAGTGGTTATCTAAGTACTGACATGTGTAAATGTACACATGGAATACTGTCCTTTGATTCTAGCCAGAGGAATTTTGAGCAGTTGTGAGGACAGAGCAGTCTTAAGATTAAAGGTAGGTCCTCTTTCATATTTGGTCTTTTCGCATTTGGGAAATTCATCTTTTGGGGTGCTTCTTCTTTATGCAATTT